AGGTGAACTGAGCATCCTATACATGTACTCCCCAACCTCCCAATTCCAGAAAAATTCATATACCTTATTCTCAGTCCAGAATTAGCCTTCCAGATTTTTATAGAGGTAAATAAATGTCCACTGACCATACTAAAGAACTCTACTATGGAACTACATGAGGATCTTTATTTATTCAAGCAAATCAGCACAAAAATCTTTCTGTTTCCCACTTGTGCTAGAACTGTCCACAGGTTTCATTTTGGTTTATGTGCAGAGAATCAATCAGAAGTTTGATCTTCATGGGGGTAGAAGTACCATAATTCATTTAAAGTTGTATTAATGCTTTTTACAAAAATCTCTGGCACTTCACAGTGATTCCTCCCACCCCCACCAGCAATAGAACACTTCCTTATAACATAAAAATACAGCTAAGCAAAGCAAATCAATTGAACGTTAGGCATTTTTGATACCTAGGAGAAGGGAGGTATGTTTCAGTTCTATGAAATAAAGAAAGGTAGTTTCATTGATCAGACATCTATTGCTGTCTTCTTTTACATTACTGTATTCATGCAAATGTTTCTTTTGGCTCTGCTACATCTTTCCATATCAGTTCATAAAAGACTTCCCAAATTTCTTCGTGTGATACTCCTCTCTAAAGGGGAAGGAGAGGGGGCAAATACCGCTCCCCAAAGGGGGAGGAGTAATGTACACATTCATGATTTCTGGGATTTTGGAGTTTCTGTTCATTTCCCTAGGCAAGGAAATATCACACAGTTTGGGAGATGGGAGAAGATTTAGACAGCCTGAGGAAAAATAAGTTTTGGAAAGAGAAAGAGAAGGGAGAGAAGAAACTCTCCCCTCAAAAAAAAAAGTTGGAAGCAGTTTATTAGCAGCAATGTCAAGAACAGTGACAGAGATACAGTTCTCCTTCCAGGTCCAAGGGGAAAAGTGAAAAATTGGGGATGATTAGAGAAGTACATATACAGATTGTTCTTTTATCATTGTAGCTTGTCTGTATGACTGGAGCTCTGGTAAAAACAGATGTATTACATGCAATGTGGAGAAACTGAACAATCCTTATCCATTTCCCCTTCCTCCCCTTCTTCTGCTGGGTATGACTAGCACATATTTCTGAACTTGATTCCTTATGCTATTATATGTTATTATCATCATTATTGTTGTTGTTGTTGTTGTTGTTGTTTTAACTAATCTAATTTTACTGGTTATTTTAGCTCTGGTAATTTTAGCCACACAGGAGAAAATTGACTAGACAGTCATCTTTCTGGCTAAGGCACAGTAGGTAACTCCAATTCTTGACTTGTCCTTAAATCTTAATTCTTCATATTTGTTATTCCTAATAATACAATCATATTCCATGACATTTTTTTACCACAATTTGTTCAGTCCGTCACCAAAGGGGACCCTACTGTTTCCAGTTTTTTTTAAATCACAAAAGTGCTATTATATATATGTGTATATATGTGTATAATATGCATATAACCCTCTATGTATGTGCATATATATGCATATATATTTATATTTATGTATCTATGAGACCTTTCTGCCTTTGAGCTTCTTCGGGGACAGATAACAATAGGATAGCCATATTGAAGAATATATACACGTTAGTGACTTTTCTAAGATAATTCCAAATACTTTTATAGAACAATTGGACCAATTCATACATCCATTAACAGTTCATTAGTATGGCTGTCTTTCCATATCATTTCTAACATTTACCATTTTTATCTTTCAGGCTATAATTCTTTAGTGGATTTCTACTATCTACAAAGCAAAGTTTAAACAACTTTACTTGGTTTTCAAATACCCGCCACTATCTAGCCTTTTGCAATTTTTCCAGTTTATTCATGGTACTTTTCACAATTGTATTAATATTTGTATATTCATCATATCCCTTAATAGATAATAAGCCCTGAGAGAGCAGGGCCTGTGTCTTACCTGAATTTTTTATCTCCCTCAATTCTTTCACAGTGATCCACACATAGTAGGAACTGGCAGATGGGCTCTTTCTAGTCCAATGTCCTTGTTGGAGAATCAACTAACAGTTGGTTATCTACTGTTGCCCACAAACATTACCTGCCCTGGTTTCAGTCACCCTTTAAAAACTTCTGCCTGATTTCTTTTAATGTCAAAAAAATTTCACAGGTCCTCCAACTGTCTAACTATAGTTGACTGAGAAAATACCTGGTGATAAAAAGCTACTATAAATCCAGCAATGCTTTTATATGAATTTGTATTTTATTCATTGCAACAGTATATACATACATTTGAAAAATAGTAATGCATGTATGTCTGAGGTATTCTGTTGATTCAGTCTACAGAATGTATGCTTATTTATTTATTGCAATGAGTCAGACTTCACATTTTGTTGGAGTTAAATACAGATCAAAGTGACAAATGCTTGGTGTATCTGTAGATTTACAGTACCCTTGCAATAACTCTGTGTTTTTCAAAGGTCCAAGAGTTTTGAAACACTTCTCAAAGGGGAAGGGAGTTGGATTAGGAAAGGTCTCTTCCACTCCTAAATTCTAGTTTTGTCTCTTTGTATTATTGGTCATAAAATCTGCATTCCTACCATTGTAAGAATAAAATTTTAAAAGCTATGCAAATGCCTCTTTCTGAGACATTGTTAAAAAAAAATAGAGCAGGGTCAAATATAGATCCCTTTGACACTGCTAGAGACCACCTTCCTAGCTGATATCCAACAATTAATGACTGACTACCTTGGGGTCTGGTCAATTAATAAGTTCTAAAACCACCAAACTATACTATGGTCTAACCCAATAGTCTCTAAACTTTTTTTATTATGTACCATGACAAAATTTTTAAAAATTGAACACTCGTGGCCAATATGTGTATTTTTACTTATTTACAAAATATTTACATGTAATAATAGCTAACATTTATATAGCACATTAAAGTTTGCAAATTGCTTTGGATATATCATCTAATTTGATGTTCACAACTCTGAGATAAGTGCTATTATCAGCAACTAGGTGGTGCAGTAGATAGAGCGCAGGATTTTGAGTCAGGAAGCCTGAATTTGAATCTTGTTTTAGATACTTACTAGCTCTGTGACTTTAGGCAAATCAATTAATCTCTCTGTGCCTCAATTTCCTCTTGTGTAAAATGGGGGTAATAATAGCATCTACCTCATAGGATTATTATGAGAATCACGTGAGTTAATGAATATAAAGCACTTTGTAAACCTTAAAATATTTTATAAATGTTAGCTATTATTATTATTCCCATTTTACAGATGAGGAAACTGAACCTGAGATTAAGTGACTTGCCTAAGGTCACATATTTAGAATCTGAAGCAGAATTTTAACTGAGCCCTTTCCTAATTCCAAGGCCAGCATTCTATTCTCTGTGCTACCCAGGTTCCTCCATGTGTGATTATATTTATAATTAGGCACATTATAAAACTTAAAAATAGAAATTTTAAAAGAATGAGATAAAGATGAAATTATTTAACCCTGGAGTTAATCATGAGTTTATTGAGTAGAAGATTGATATGATCAGATCTACATTTTAGAAAAATTACTTTAGCAGCTGTGCGGATGAAAAAGTTCGGAAAGGGGAGAGATTTAAGACAGGGAGACCAATTAGGAGGCCATTGTAATAAGCTAGGCAAAAAGTGGTGAGAGGCAGAACTAGGGTATGAGTAGGATAGAAATGGGGAGGTTTATCAACTGATTGGATATGTGTAGTGAAAAAGAGTGTGGAAATGATAATATAAAACTGTGAAAATGAGGGTATGGAAAAAAGGTGGTACCTTCAATAGTAAAAAGAAGTTTGGAAGATGTGTGGTTTTGGGGAGAAAGACAATGTATATAAGGTAATGCAAAGATAATTCATGATGCACATCACAACCGATCCGTGTCTGAAGGTGACACCCACATGAGGAAGGGAAGGGTGGAGTCTTTATTCACCAGTCACTGCTCTCCCTCTAAGGGGTGCCTGTCTCAGCCAGTGGTAAGAGATTTTCCCAATGGCACTAGCATTACTACTGCTTTGGATGGGATGGAGTATTGGAAGGGACCAATACTAGTTCAGAAGTGGGGAGGATGGAAGCTTGCACAGAGGAGGGAAGGAACAGAATGGGGAATGATAAAGGATTAATGTAAGTGGGGTAATGTTGGAGATAAGTCCCACTACGACTATATAGAGAAGATGAGATTCAACTATCTTTCATTTGGCTTAACACATAGCCCTTTGAGTCATACCATGATCCCTTTGAGGTCAAGTCATATCCCCTACTTTAGAGAAACCAGCATAGTCCATTGCCCTACAACAATGACATAGAAGAACTTGTCAACATTTTTTAAAATCTAAATGATATCCATAGTATTTCCCTGATTTGCCAGTCTAGTAGCCAAGGAAATTAGAATAGTCAGAAATATCCAGTTGTTGATGAAGGTATGCTGACTCTAAGTTATCTCTACCTCTTTTTTAAAGATATAAACTAACCAAACTTTCAATAATAATTTGTACCAGGCATTGCAGTTAAGACAATTAGCCCTTTCTAATTTTCAGACTTCCACTCTTTATTCCAGTCACCAATGCTGTCAGCTGACCTGTACTAGTTACCCACCCTAAGGTGAGACTGCATCTTTGTTTGTTCTTAAGGCATGCATGTCCTCAGCCTACTACTATTCTCCTAAAGCATCTTGAGATGGTAGAGGAATGAGAAATATCTGAGCACAGCCTTCAACAACACAATATCTTATATTTCTATGTTATACTTTTCAAAGATCTTTTGCATATTATCTCTTAATCTTCACAGGAATCTACTGAGGTAGGTATTAGTCTATTTTAGAGGTGACAAAACTGAGAATTAGAGAAGTTAAGTGACTTACCCAGAATTACACTGATAGCTAGTGACCAAGGTAGGACTATAACCCAAGTATTCTGATACCTAAAAAGTTACTTGTCTGGAGATCCTGGGGGCTTCTTTCTCATCAGTTTTCTTTTTATTTCTTCTTGTTTCCCAACAGGTTACCAAGATGCTGGCAGTGGTTGTGATTCTATTTGCCCTTTTATGGATGCCCTACAGGACCCTGGTTGTGGTCAACTCATTCTTATCCAGCCCTTTCCAAGAAAATTGGTTCTTGTTATTCTGCAGAATCTGCATTTACCTCAATAGCGCCATCAACCCAGTGATTTACAACCTCATGTCCCAGAAATTCCGGGCTGCCTTCAGGAAGCTGTGCAACTGCAAAAAGAAGACTTTAGAGAAGCCAGTCAACTACAGTGTGGCCCTGAACTACAGCGTCATCAAAGAGTCCGACCACTTCAACACAGAGCTTGAAGATTTCACAGTCACAGACACTTATCTGGCCACTACCAAAGTGTCTTTTGATGATACGTGTTTGTCTTCTGAGGTAACATTTAGCTGAACTTGAGTCACAATATGAAATGTGATGGACCACAAAGTGGAAGAGGCTATTGGATCATTATGAAAGAAGAGGAAAAACTGCCTTTATGGTTGGTTATATGTGAAGTGGAACAGGGAGAGGTTTTCCCTAGGTTCTTTAGTCTCCCTTGACTTTGTCGCCCATTTGTTGTCCAGGACAGGAATTCAGAATCTTTATCTTGGTAGAATTATCATACAGAAAAAATGAAGCTGATCAGAGAAACACTTAGGTTATAACCAATCAGAAAAAAGAAATTGACTTTTTTTTTAAATTAGTTGAATTTAGATTAGCGAATTTATTCACCTTATTTTTCGGAACTCAGTAACCGAGTACTGCTTCTGTGAGCTCTGGCCATCATTTCACTCGACTTACAAAGATTTTCTCATATGGGATTATTCTCCCCACTCCTTCAAAAGGCTACATAATATATTCAAATTGCTTTAATGCTTACAGTATTCTACTGTAGATTCATTTAAAATATTAATTAAAAATCCAAGTTTCCTTAATATTCTTAATATCCACTTAAAACACTCAGATTCCTGCTTGCTAATGAATTGTTATTAAATTTTAATGTAAAATGAGTCTCAACTGTTTCCAAAATTGTACTAATAAGATTTACATTTTGAGGCTAAAGCCAGCTTCTTCCAACTATTTAAGCCTTTCATAAATAATGATTGGATAGGATGAAAGAAATATTTTCAAGGAAAATCTTTTGGTATATCCTTAGGTATAAACTACTGAGTCATGTCAAGAAAACTCACTCAAAAGTCTAAATCATTTATAAAAACTTAGTTAACTTCCAGTCTGCCAAAATTCAGCTTCCAAACATGGGCTACCCACCGAACAGTCTATAGTCTGAATTTAAAATAGTTTTCAATAGTCTTTCTTGTCTAATTTTCTTTTCGTTATTCTTAGGTCCAACTTTTTTTCTAGGGGTTAGAGATATTCTGTTAAACATGAAAATTTTAGAAACTGTACAATTTCTGTAGACTTTGTTTTTCCTCGAAGTTTAGGCAGACTCCTTAATATCTTTAGTAGATCTGTTCAATATATGACTTACTCCTGTCCTTCCCATGAGCCATTAAGCATGTTTGAATGTGAATATGCCTAGAATATTTTGTCATATACCTACCTGGAACACTTTCAAATATATCAGTCCCTTCCTTGCTCAGCCATTTGGTAGAAACCGTACATTTGTACTCACTGAGTCGTCATCAACCAGATCCTCCCAGTACAGAAGCTACTCTTTGTGAGTAATTTAAGCACCCAGCAAGGGAGTCTCAATTGATTGACCCTTCCAAGTCATTTCTGATGACAAATTTAAGAGATGCCAAGCACTTGAAGTACCATATGGTCAAGTATCTATCCACTCCAGCCTATACTTATGGTTAATTCTAGAACCTCAATCTCCCTTCTTTATTATGGAGTCAAATCTATATACTACTTCTAGTTTTAAATCCTTCTTCATGGTGGTCTTGCCTCTAGAAGTTCCCTCCAGTACTTGCTTTTGTGAAGTGCACAACTGATTAAAAAAGGAGGGAAACAAAAGGCAGAGTGACATCAGATTCTTCATTAGGTCCTTTACCAGATTCTTGAGATAGGATATTACAGTGGAAATAATCCTTACTGCCTTTGGAGTCAGAGAAACTATGTTCAAATTCCAGCTCTACCACTTACTCCCTTTGTGATCTTGGATAAATCATTTCACCCCTCTAGGCCAAATTTCCTTACCTTTAAAATGAAAGAGTTGGGTTTCATGGCCTCTAAGGTCCTTTCTAGCTCTAAGCTTATGATAATTAGTTTTCTGACTAATTTTAGATTCGGCTTGATATTTTCATAGAAAAGGTAAAATTGTGGAAATGAGTTTAAGTGAAAACCCAGCACAGTGGAAGACTACTAGATTCATGATCAGGAGATACCTGGGTTTAAATCTTATTCCCAGTACTTTTGTCACTTGTGTGATTGTGGGGAATTTAGTTAATCTCTCTAAACCTCAGTTTTTTCATCTGTAAAATGGGAGTAATTATAGCTGTTATCCCTTATCTCATGTGAATGTTATAAATTTCAAATGAAATAATGTATGTATAGTGCTTTAAGGTTAAAGAGCTATGGAAACATCACCCTTTTATTAAATAGGCATTCAGGACTTGTAATGGAACCTTTTAAGACCTTATGACAAAATTAGTTTTTAAAAAAGCCTCCTTGGCTTAGCAAAATGATCCTATAAAGTAACAAATAGAAAGATGTATATTTCGTAGTACATTTTTTTAAAAAATGCCTTTTCATTTCATTCACTTCAATCTAATATATGGGTTCAGTTCTATTCATTTTTAACTTTTCCCAAAAGGTTATTAACTAATAATCTCTCAGCTCTGAACAAGAAGGGGAATTCAAAAGAACAGAGCTCAGAGCATTTCAACTCTGAAGCAAATGTCATAACAAAATTAAATGTTCCCAAACAATGCCCTATAGACATGGTGTTTAGCCAGGAACCAAAGATACATTTTAAATACTTGTCATCTCACAGAACCAAAGCATTAAAGATTTCTGTAAATTAAAAAAAAACTGAATACATAATCAAACGAAAAATGAAGGGCCAGAGTCACTGATTGTTAATGATATGACACTTTTTTAAGCCCTCCTTCACCCAAATGCTTTGCACTTTCGCCCCTCTTTGTTTCCAGCTGTCACTGGGAATATACTGTCTTATGTTTGAACTTGAACAAGGAGATAATTTAGGCAAAGCCTAAAGAAGGATGTTTGACATCACTACCTTGGACACTTATCAGAAACATCCTCTCTCACATCACCTAGTCTCCACCAAGAAAAAAAAAAACTTTCCAATTCTTAAGATGAATGGAAAATAACCAAATTTTAAGCTAGCTAAAATAGGAGACTTTAGTAAGACACTACAACACCCAAGTTAGTGGTCATTTCAGCCGAATATTCAGATAATCAAGTCAGGGGAAAAATATATATGTATGTATAGATATATAGATATAGATATATTATATATATGTAATATATATATATGTATATATACATGGGAGTATATATATATACATATATATCAGTCAAAATGGTCATTTCATATCATCACATCTCTTAGTCACCCTCAAAAATATTTGTTTGAATTTTTTCCCTTTTCAACAGATTGTGTTGTCATTGTATAGACATTGCCTTTGAAACTGGTTCCTTCAATATTGATGCATTGGTCTAAAAAATCATTCTTTCTCATACCAAAGTCTCAAATCAGGAACTTATCACAGGATCATAGCTCTTGAGTTGTGACATTGTATATTTCAATCCTCTCACTTGATAGATGAGAAAATGGAGGCTCTGAGAAGGGGAATGATTTGTTCAAAGTCAAAAATATAATAAATAGGAAAGGAGAGATCCAAACCTGATTTACTCAACTCCAAATCCAGTGACCTTTTTTTGTTATACCATGGCAATACATTTACTCTTTTCAGGTCCCTTTTACATACTGGGTAATACAGAAGCAGACTTCAGTCGATCCCTAGAAAAGGACTATTTAATAGGAATTTCTACTTTATAATGCACCAAATTAGACCAGGAAGAAGGAATAAGGGGGATATGACCCCTTGCAATCTATGTTACCAGGGGCAAATCATTTTACCCCTTTGGGGTTCCATTGACTCATCTATAAAATGGGGACGACAGTACCTACCATCTAAGTTTTTCAAACATTTGCAACATTTTATAAAAGCTAGAATGCTTTGTAAAAGTACATTGCTCATTGCTATGAAGCAAATTTTCATTAGGCTTTCTTGTTTCCTTGGTGATACAGAACAACTTACCAAAACATGTAAGTATGCCATCACCTGAGAAAGATTCTTTCAATTATTTCATTTCACTCTCAGAAGTGGAGAGGGAAGTGGTTGGATAATTCCCAATATAAAAGTCCTTAATTACATATTAAAATGTCATTTGTAACACCTGTAAATACTCCATTTTTAGGTTTGACTGCATAACTAATATATTTATTATATGCAAATACTAGACAATAATAACTCTCAAGCAATCTTTCTTCAATTGTATTCATTTTTATATACTGAGATAAAAAGCATAGAAATTGTTTGATTATTACTTAAAATAATCAAAAGCTATGAAATCTCATCTGGCTATATTAAAGCATTCTTTATCTCTCAGGAGTACACAAAAGCAAACACTATTTGGTCCTGGGTTCCTAAAAGTAGAGCTGGAGGGGCTTGTAGGATCATAAATTTAGAACTGGAAAAGGACAGGAGAGTCCATAGAATGAAACCTCCTCATTTTATAGATAAAGAAACTGAGGGAGAGAGACACTAAATGACATTTCAGAGTCAGAAAACAAGTAAATGTTGAAAGTTGGATTTGAGCTAAGGTTTGTCTGATTCCAGGTCTATCTCTCTAGCTACTACGCCACCTGGAAACCTTAGAGGTCATATAGTAGAACTACCTTATTTTATTGATCAGGAAACTAAGACCCACATAAGTGAATAACTTCAGCAAGATCAAACAGGTAGTAGTAGCAGACCCAGGATTAGAACTTAGGTCCTCTGCCTCCAAATACAAGCCTTCCACCCCTATAACATACCTTGGATAGTCCTGAGTTTCTCCCTGTGGCCTAATACCTCAATCCCTTTCTGAGAGAACATTTACCATCAGAGTTTGTTAGTTTTTCTGATCCTGATCTTGTGTCCTTTTGTTTTGTGTTTTTAAAAATTTCCTTCCTCCACTCCCCAGTTTTTGTGAATTTGGGTAAGATATTTATGTACCTGAAGATATAACTGTTTGGTATTTTTCAGAGTCTAAATATGAGACTTAAGGACTATGTCATATGATAACAATTATGAACAATAACTATATAACCTCACTGGTAACATTGCTAAGCATCTCTTAATATATTGTAGCAATTTATGTGTTGATATTTCCATTGACATTTGCATAGATGTTATTCATTGATGGCTTAACTTTAT